TATCGGCCAGGCCTGGGTGAACCAGAGTGATGACCCTTACTTCAAAAAAACAAAAAATGCACACTGAAAAGAAGCGAAAACTTGTTACTACTACGGCTAAATTTGTTCACCTGATCTTTTAATTTTTAAAGGACTACTATTCTTGCATCCCATTTTACGTGTCATCCGGAACGCAAAGTTATAAGGATAAAAGACCACGTGTGGTGCTCATGCCTGTAATTCCCAGTACCTGTTTGGGAGCGTAGAGGCACGCTGGATCAAGACAGACTGGTCCAACATGGTGAAACCTCACTCCATACCTAAAATCAAAAATTAGCCGGACGTGGGTGGCCGGCACCTGTAATACCAACTACTCAGGAGCGCCTGAGGCAGCGAGAATCGCTGGAACCCAGGAGGGAAGTTGCGAAAGCCGAGATCATGCATTGCACTCCGCCTGGGTGACCAGAGCAGACTCCGCATCTCAAAAAAAAAAAAAAATAAAAAGGCGATGTACTGGGCATTGGTGTCTCATGCCTATAGATCCTCCCAGAATTTGGAGCGCTCAGTCGGGCAGAATCACTTATAAGGTCAGGATATCGATGACCAGCCTGCCAAACATGAGTGAAACCCCGTCTCTACTAAATACCAAATTAACCAGACATGGTGGGCGTCCGCCTGTACCCCACGAGGCTGAGGCCGGAAATCACTTGAACCTGGGGGCAGAGGCGCAGCAACCAACGGCAAAGACGCCACCACTCGCAAACTATCCGCTGCGATGAAGCGCACAACACTTCGTTCAAAAAAGAAAAGAGAAAGAGCGCGCCACCGCCAACTTACGCGCCGCACCACTCACTGCCTGTTAATCCCAGCACTTTGGGAGCATCCGAGGCGGCAGATCAGAGTCAGAGATTGAGACATAAAACACAATAAAACACAAGAGAACAACAACATCTACAAAAATTCAAAAATTACCCAGGCATCACGGTGGCAGGCACCTGGTCATACCAGCCACAACACATACACACACCCAACAACCAACGACACACACGCGACACTAAGACCACAACACACAACACAAGACCGCATATGCACGCGCCAACGAGCAGACAGAGATCACCCACTGCCCTCCAAGCCAAGATAAGAGAGAGCAAAACACACACTTACCATTCCAAGACCGGGCGGCACCACAGAAACAGGGTCTGAGACACAATAAAAGACGGCACAGGGAACACTACTGGAGTGCTACTACTCTGATCACAATACATGTTTATCAAACTCATCTAACATACTTCTTCTTTAATTAATTTTAATTAATTTAATACCCCACTGCCCTCCAGCCTGGCAATAGAGGGAGACTCCATCTCAAAAAAAAAGGGGGGGAAAGAAAAGAAAAAGTAGATTGGTGGCTGCCAGGGTCTGAGGACAACCGGAGGAGATGACCGCAGGGACGGCACAGGGGACCTTTTCTGGGTGCTAGAAATGTTCTACATCTTGATCAGCATATGATTAAATGATTGTACATGTTTATCAGAACTCATCTAACATACTTCTTCTTTAATTTAATTTTAATTAATTTAATTGATTTATTTTTGAGAGAGTCTCGCTCTGTCACCCAGGCTGGAGTGCAGTGGCAAGATCACAGCTCACTACGATCTTCACCTCCTGGGTTCAAGTGATTCTTGTGCCTCAGCCTCCCAAGTAGCTGGGATTATAGGCATGCGCCACTACGCCCAGCTAATTTTTTTATTTTTTGTAGAGATGGGGTCTCGCCATGTTGCCCAGGCTGGTCTCAAACTCCTGGGCTCAAGTGATCTGCCTGCCTTGGCCTCCAAAGTGCTGGGATTACAGGCATGAGCCACCATGCCCGGCCAAACACACACAGTTGAAACAGGTGTATTTTATTGTATGTTAATTATACCTCAATACAGTTGATTTTCAAAATCTAAATTACTGGCCTGGTGCGGTGGCTCAGGACCGTAATCCCAGCACTTTGGGAGGCTGAGGCAGGAGGATCGCTGGAGCCCAGGAGTTCAAGACCAGTCTGGGCTGCCTGGCAAGACCCTGTCTCTACCAAAAAAAAAAAAAAAAGCAAAAACTAGCAGGGCATGGTGGCACATGCCTGTAGTCCCAGCTACTCAGGAGGCTGAGGTGGAAGGATCACCTGATCCCCAGGAGGTAGAGGCTGCAGTGAGTCCTGATTGCACCACTGCACTCCAGCCTGGGTGACAGAGTGAGACCTCGTCTCAAAAAACAAACGCCGGGCGCGGTGGCTCACGCCTGTAATCCCAGCACTTTGGGAGGCCGAGGTGCGTGGATCACGAGGTCAGGAGATCGAGACCATCCTGGTTAACATGGTGAAACCCCGTCTCTACTAAAAATATAAAGAATTAGCCGGGCGTGGTGGCAGGCGCCTGTAGTCCCAGCTACTCGGAAGGCTGAGGCAGGAGAATGGCCTGAACTCAGGAGGCAGAGCTTGCAGTGAGCCGAGATCGTGCCACTGCACTCCAGCCTGGGGGACAGAGCCAGACTCTGTCTCAAAAAACACACACACACACTTAGCTCCTCTTCCCCTTATTGGCTGTGTGACCTTAGACAAAGCTCCTAACTTCTCTGTGCCTGGGTAAAGGATGAGGGAGTTGGGGAGGAGGGAATGATCACTGAGGGCAGGTGCTGAGGTCTCAGGTCTCACTGTGGATTCACAATGCAAGAAATGTTTGCAGTTGAAACAGAGGAGCTTTATGAGCTTTTAGAGTGGAATTAGAGACAAAGACCTGAGCAGCTGACAATGGCTTCTGTGTCTCAGGAGGGCGGGCGGTGGGCTGAGCACTGTCAGGACCTCACCTGCATCCCTTTGAACCATCGGGCACTCCTTTGCTGACCTGGAAAAGTGAGTAGAGCCATCCTGGGGTCCCAGAGGAATGGCATTGAGGGCACACAATTAACGGTAGCCTTGTGAACAGTCAGACGGGCTTCACAGCCCGTGCCCAGAGGCCTCTGCTGTTTGGAGCAGTGCTGGATACACACAGCAGTGACAGCCCCAGGCCTGCCCTCACAGGCTCACACATGGGGAAGACTGGTCCATCCCTCCGCAGACAGTCGCATCCCAGAATGTTGGGGCTGGTAGGGTCAGGGGGCTCCTGACTCAGACTGGAAAGAAAAATCAGGGAGGGCTTCCTGGAGGAAAGGCTGTCAGAGCTGGAGCCTGATGTGTTTATTGAGCACTTACCATGTGACCTGGTTTGGATCTCCAAGAAAGAGGCATAGTTTTGAGGTTGAAGTGAAAGGGGTATGTATGCAAGGAGGATGGCGGGGGAGAGGCCTTGGCTAAGAGGCAGAAAGGGCTGCGGGTGGGACAGAGCCAGAGGGATAAGGCTGAAGGGACACGGTGCCTGGCGTGGGTCCTCTGCAGCACGATCTTGGACTTTCTCCCGATGATGGGGCTCAGGAAGAAGCAGCTTCCTCAAGTTTCATCCT